TTCTTATCACAAACTGATCTGGTCTAAATCCCTAGCTCCACATATTCCTGAAAAAACAGCTTCCTATATAAAACAGATAGGCCACATAAGAAAAACAAGACACAGAAAAGAACAGAAAGGCCACAGTATGCAAGAGTCACAATTCCATTAGAGGTCTGCTCTCCTTTTGCCCCTTCCAAAATGTCTTTCCTTTAACTCTCTAATTAATAACATTATGTGCTAATAAAAGATCAAGGAGGTGGCAGCTGTACTCTAGCCTCTAATCCACTCATACGTTATTGATGCTGCTGCTCCTGGTGTTCCATCTGCTTCTCTAATGTTTGTTCCATGCTGCATTGCTGGAGACATTTGAGGCCAACATCTAAGATAACTTACAGGAAAAAAGAAACCCAGTCCTGTGCCATGCAGAATGAGCTGGCTGTGTTGTTTTTTTGCTCATTTGGATACAAGAATTTGAATTCCCTGCAAGCAAGGTCCAGATGAGGAATGGGTGATGGATAGCAAATATGGTGAAGGTGATGTGGTTCAAATTGTCTGTCACCTCTTTGTGACTGCTGCATTGAGTAGCACCCTCGATGGCTTGATAGGCTTACTGCTGCTTTCTTTCAGATTTAGGGCTCCCAGGAAACATTTTTGTTTATTTCCTTCATTTGTCCTTCAGTTTTCTGTTTGCCGGAGTGGACAAGCAGACTTTTCACTCTTTTTTTTTTTTTTTTAGTGTTTTATAATAAGGTCAAGGGAATTATGTATGCTGGCCTTGATGGGAAGAGTGGCTCAGGCTCATTGTTGTAAATTGTTGTGAATTAGGGTGATACCAATGCTAATTGTCTTTTCCTTGCTTCACTGACTCTTTAAATAATTGTCCTCCTCCTTGGTCAGTTTTTTCCTTGCACCTCTGAGAAATTTGTACCACAACTCTTATCAGTCTCCTTCCACCCAACCAATGTAAAGTACATTGCAGCCACTAAATCCAATTAATCCTCCCAGCACTCCCCAGTGAATGAAATTAGTTACATTTTACAGCTGGGCAGTCAGGGGTGGAGGCAGCTTTCCCAGCAATGTCTGCATTATCTCTCCTCTATGGAAAACCTGTCGTGCCTCGTGAATAGTTGGGTCTTCAGGGGTGCTGAGTGCCTTCAATCACAGCACTCAGGGTGAGGAAGGGAGCACCATGGAAAAAACAAGTGATTTGGTTGGGGTCAATGCTGATCTGAGTTTGAGAAAGTAGTTCTGACTTGTCTTGTGTGAGGGGAGATAGGATGCATCCATAACCATATCTTCAAGCAGACACAAAAATCACCCTCCTCACCTGCAAGGGCTAGCTCAAAACCACAAACACATAGGATTCCATTTATCTATCACTCCATTTCTATAATATTGTTACTCTATCATTTCCACAGGATTGCACATCCTTTGCAAGAGGAGTGGAAAACGAGGTGTTGAGCTTTCATTCAAACAGTAGGTTTTGCTAGTTTCAGATCCTCAATACTGGATGCAATAGCTATTTGCAAATGAGTTGAAGGATTTATTTTTTTCTTACCTTAAAAAAATAAAAGTTAGTCCCCATGAACTGCAGACAACCTTCTCAGCTTCTATGTGTTGAGTATATTCAAGTTTGATTTTTAAAAAATTCTCCCAAGCGATTAGAAGCTATTGTGGCCTAATCAACCAAGAAATTTAAACATAAAGTTTGCTGAAATCTTTCCTTAAAGTACAGCTAAAGCATATTTCACTTTTACTGCTCTCAGATATTTACGTCTATTTTAAATACAAAGAGCCAGATTCTCTGTTGGCACAAATCAGCGTAGTGTTACTGGCTTTATGATACACAACTTGAGAGCTTGGCCCTCTATTTTATGATCTGTCTGCCTTTATAATGATATTCTGTATTCTTCACAAATCTTCCAGTGGATGAAAGGCATGGTAGATGGCTTAATACATCCCATGAACTACTTAGTGAGGTTTTCAAATCCCCTGGGTATGTTATTATGTTATTATTACTTTTATGTTTGGAAAGCTAAATGACCTAAGCACATGAACTCCAGAAAGAGGGAACCTTGGCTTTTGAGATATTTAACCTACTGCAACTCATTCCAGTCTTCCTGAATCAAACAAAACTTTATAATGGATAAGTGCTTGTAGAGTACGTAACAGCTTCCATTGTGCAGCATGAAAAAAAAAAAAAGCTGCTTTTGATATATTTGTGACAGCTTCACTTCCAATAAGGAATGTTCTGTATGGTCCAATACAATTTCTAACTCAACCATACACTAAACCATGTTAATAAAATAATTATATGGGAGTATGTGTGTGTGGAAATAAAGCTACTCAACAAAACTAGCAGAAGACTTTGACTAGACTTGTAAAGGGTGTAAATATCGGCATAATTAATACATTTCCCATTTCATGAGCTTTATTAGCCTCAGTCAGAAATAATGGGAAAAAAGAGTGGGCAGGAATGGAATAGAATAGTGGGAGCCTTTATGTTCCCCATGTTCCCATATGTAGGCTCAGGAAATTGCAAAGCAGTTGCACTCTAGGTGGACCTGCTTGCAGCAGTTCTCAGGGTTGTTAGGAGAACCACAGCATACAGACAGTCACCAGGTTTTGAATAGGCTGTAGTTAAGCTGTTCACTCATTGCATGATACCCCTGCTAACCTGTGAAGATTTTAAGGGACTTCAGAGCTTGCATAATTTATTTATAGCCAAAACCCAATGAGAACAGTAGGAGGATGGATGACAGATCTTTTATAGAATTAGCATGGATTTGTTCAGTTGTTATTGAAATGTTGCATAAATTCTTGATCCTGGGAGATGCTTGGCTAGACACTTGGCTTCAGGCATATGGGATACGGGAACATAGGACTGCACATGCTACAATCCACTAAATATTTTCTAGTATTTGGAAGTTAAATCCTGCAATACAAAAGGCCAAAAGACACAAAACCTTCAATATGCCACAGGAAGAAAAGCAGATGAGACCAAGGGGATCAGCAGGCTCTTAGGTTTCTGCCACAAAAGGAGGAAATATATATATATATTTTTTTCAGAATGGGTAGTTCTCATGTTTTAAATTAAACCCACAATTAAATGTTTTGCTGGCCTGACTTTTGCTTTCCATCATCCCAAATGGACGGATCTGTTATTAGGAATAACATACAATTTAAAGAGCAAACAAGACAAACGAGATAGAACAGGGAGCACAGAGGAGCATGGTCATGAGCAGCACCACATCGGGCAAAGAGCATGAACAAAAGTGTAAGGAATGCCTTTCGCTAGGACACCAAGCACAGAGTGCTGGTTGCCTTAATATCAATTTGTGTTGATGCGGTTTCCCCAGAGCAACAAGTGGTGGGACTTGTGGAGAAATGGCAGCAAGACAACCGGGGGTGGATTACAACTGTGAACAGCAAGGGCTTTTCATTCTTTTCATCTTGCCAGACATGCTGTCCCTATTAAAAGTTAATGTTTGAAAATCATCTGTTTCTCTTAACCTCTATTTGTATTCTGTAAATGGAGCAGTAAATGTAACTAGTGCAGTTGCTGTGAGGGATGAACTCCTACTGGCTTGGTCAGTATGAAGTCAGTGTGCTAATCGCTTACAAGCCACCCGCAATCCAATGCATTCATTTAAATAGGATTCGTTGTCCTCTCTGTTCAAGTGCTCTGCATCTCAGGCTATCTCCTTGGTAATCCTTTTTAGATTAGTGTCAGAGCCCCAGATGAAATCCTTGCTCATTCTCTTGCCATGTTTACCAGGCTGATTTCCAACACTGTTTCATATGGATTAGGCAGAGCAACTTAGTGCTCATATGTTTTTCAGTGCATCTCAGTACCTCATGAAATTACATTATAGATTCATTGTATAAATAGAAGACTGAACACAATTACAGTCCAAAAGCCCCAAAGCAAAGGACTAGAATCTGAAAGTAGATGTGACCAGATCTTGCTGTGTGCAAATATCTCATATTAAATTGGTCACACATTTGTTTATTTAATCTCTGTTTTCAAAATTTCCATTTTTTTTTTCACAGAAAAAATAACCTTTCTTCACACTTCAGCGGAAAGACAAAGGCAGGCAGGTGCACATTGGCATAATTGCTAGGTCAGATCAAGGATGTCAGTGGTTCAACTCAACTAGGGAAAACAAACTGCATAAAGATGGTTTAAAGAGAATGTTCCATTGTTTTTCAAGGTCCCAGCATTTTAATCATAGGTATTATCACTGCTTCCCTCACGGAATCATAGAAAAAATTGAGTTGAAAGGGACCTCAGGAGGTCATCTCCTCCAAGCCCCATCTCAAAGCAGGTCCAATTTTGAAGTTAGGTTCATCCACATGAGGATTACACCAGCTAAAGTGCTGTATGACACTGTGAGAATCATCACTAAAGAGGGTCATTGAGCTTTCTATTACTTGTAAATAAAAAAGTTTGTGAAGGAGATTAGTAATAGTGGGGCCTATGCTGCTTGAGGATGCAGGAGGTCATGTTTCTGATGGAAAACTGCCTTTTATGTTAGTGCTGGACTGCACTGACAGACCCATTACTTTTAAGCTACTAATTGATATCTGAAATTTCATTGCTGAAGATCATTGGGCTTCCAGTTGTTGCTAGAAACATAGGCCTTTCCCGTTGATGAATATAGCTCCCTGAGTGGAGATTAGCAGAGACAGCTATCATTGGGCCTGTAGGTGAATGGATTACCCTTGATTTAATAAGAAGTAACAGGCCATTATTTCTAGAGCTACAGGATGGAAAATGACATCTGGATTCTCGATGTAAACATTATTCATCATGTCGGATGCTTTGCTATTCTTGCCAGTACACTATGCTCTGACAAGGCTGTTATTTCTAGGGCAAGTGAGTGGTGAGTGCAGCATGGATTTATTTGCACATACCCATTGAGTTTATAAAGTCTTGTGTTCCTTGATACAGCTGTGTATTGGCCCAGTCAGTTGGCCTAATCAAGAGCTACCCCTTGCTACCTAGGGCTGATGGGCCAGATCCTCTGCTGGTGTCAGATAGCCCCAAACTATTGACGACAGTGCAGCTGTGCAGAACTGCAGGCTTAGAGGTTTCACATCATATACAGGCTTCCTGCAAACAGGCAGAAGAGGCAGTCACTGCAAATTGCCATCAAGAAGTACTGGGATCAAAGCAAAACAAGATGAGAAGAGAGAAGCTGCCAAGGAAAAGCCCGGTGTCACAGGTGTGATGAGCAAGGACTAAATGACTTTTGCTAATGCATACAAGAGGTTTTCAGGTTCATGTCACAAAATCCACCTCTGCTTTTTGGAAGGAAGAAGAGTTGGAAGGTACATCCATAAATCCTATCAGTGTTAGTTTACACTGAACACCCAGTGAACCTATTGAGCGGAATGTTTTGAGTTATTTCTGTGCAGCTTGGCAGCTAGAAGGCCTCAAGATGGTAGATCATGAACGTGGCACTTCGAGTGTATATTTCTGACCTCATGAAATGGTAATTTAAATAAGGGTAAAGCCATTCATTTCTACAGGAGATGAAAGTCTTCGGGAGCTGTTTAAACTCAGGTGATTCAAGAAATCCCAAATGAGCAACAGAATGGGTTGATTTTTATGTTCTGTTAAAAAAAAAAAGAAAAAAAAAGTTATTAGAATGAATTCCATTCTTTGTTTCCTCAGTAACATGCAAAAAAAAAGTAAATGAAATGTTGACTTGTTAATACAATTATTTATTCTCCCTTCTCTCTTTTCTGAGTGGCAAATTTGGAAGGGAAAATGAAAAAGAAGGGATAAAGGGAAGAAAAATATACACACAGCAGTTGCAAGACTGGAAATGAAAATATTTTGCAGGAATAATAATTTAAAAGGTTTTGCAAGGGAAGCTAACACTCTGTAAGTTTGTTCAGGTGCAACTTTTCAACAGCGTAGAGAAAATTTCTGGCACTGGACCTTTTAGGAAATGAAATGCTGGAGTGCCAAAAAGGACCCCTGAACATTACATTTCGTCCCTGGGGGTGTTTAAGGAAAGGCTGGATGTGGTGCTTTGGGACACGGTTTAGTGGGTAATATTGGTGGTAGGGGGACAGTTGGACCAGATGATCTTTGAGGTCTTTTCCTACCTTAATGATTCTATGATTCTGCAGGTAAAATGGTGTGCCAAAATTTTCTGAGAAAAATCTGGTAGCACAGGATTTGGCACAGATTATCCCAACCCAGTGCAGAATGCTGTGAGTTTCTACTGCTGTGGCTGATATTGGCTGTAAATGTCCATCCCACAAACACTTGCATATCTACTTACAAACTTACTGGTGTGGCTAACACTATGAGTACCTGTCACTGTTGAAAATTTGGTTAGTGCTAAGTTAACCTTGTGTGCATGGTGGAGGTTTGTGCATTCAGGCTTTAGTGCTGGTGAGGATGGAGGTGTTTATATGAGATCTTTACCATGCCTCCCTCATTGTCTCAGCAGATACAAAATGCTGAGTGATTGCTTACCTGTCTATAATTTCCCACAAGCTCTGCTGTTGTGGGCAGATCAGAAATTGCAGGTGGTCCAGAAGCCTTTGGTAGCAGTGTTTGCAGTAGGTGTGCTCTGCATATAAGCCCACCACAATTGCAGATAAAGGCCACAAATGTTTCCATTACACACAAACACCTCCTTGAACACTGAAATGCCACTAGACTGCAATCATTTATAACAGCACAAGCTTGTTTTTCCCCCAAGTATTACTGTCAGCGTGTAGTAATGAATTCATTGATTTTACCATTTTTTATCAAAACAGTTATTTCAGAGATAAATGTCCTTCATTTGCAGTTATTAACTCTGCCACACATAGGACAGCTATTGGAATAATTGTCCAGTGTGGGCAGAAGAAGAAAACACCCATGTCCTTCCCTTATCTGGGACTGTTAACTGAAGTGAGAATGACTTAATGAGACATTTTGGAGTCATGAGCCACCCCTTTTCTCCTACTTCTGGATATGAGCAAATGGGGAAAATATGGCATTTCCAATCAAGGAGCAAAGCCAGCCCCTTCCCTCTGGATGCTCTTGTTTTTAGTTTGTTTAATTAGCTGGGTAGCAAGTTCTTCCTAGACAAGGAGAACAGAGTGATGGTGGCAAGTGGTTGAATTGTGTGCAGTGGACCCCTAAATGATCTAATGGGTGCAGCCTGTGTAGCACTATGATGTGGCTGTGGTACTTTGTGAGCTGCTCTGGGACTGATGCATCCTTGTCTTTTGCTCTTTTGCTGCCCAAAGAAACTGATCCCTCCCTGTGTTTTTGTGCTTCAGTACTGCCTGTTTGCAACTCAGAAACAAAACCCAGAAAAGCTGTCTCCCTGTAAAATCACAGAAGAGCTGTTTCCCAGAACTGGGCTGTCGCCGTCCCTTTAATGAAGCAGTCACCAAAGGTCAGCACTTCGGAGATCCTGATTCTTCACTTCTGAACCATTTGTTCAAGCTGTAAGTCACGCTTTCCCCAATGCCTTGCCCACTAAAAAAAAAACCACCCTCCAGTCTGCATTTGAAGGTTTCCTATAAGCTTCACTGAGATGGCCAGACAGGAGGTAATGGGCTGAGACTGGAGCACCGTGGATGCCTGCTTTCACGGCGCAGCGGGGAGGCAGCAGACGGAGCTGCAATGCCGCTGTCTGGCACTAATTCAAATCGCTTGGGTCCACTGAGGCATTTAACTCCAGCACCTGGGTTAGGACTACCAGAGGGATCTGGTCTCTCCGCTGGTACTCGAGGCAGCCCCGGAGAAGGCGCTTCTCTCTGAATAAGATAATGAGTTGCAATCAACAGCAAGCTCATGGGACCAGGGAGAGAACTCTGGATTCCTCCAGCAAAGTGAGAACATTTTGGTCATGGAACCAGATCAGAGAGTGAAAAAAAGCTGCTACTGAACCCAGGTTCAAATCCAGATCATTTTGACACTGCCTTAAAAATTGGAGACAGATAGGAGTCGCTGGCATTGCCAAGGGGCAGGAGTCTGGGTGTATGCTCCCTTTGCTGGGCAGTTGGGAGCAGGAGAAAATTTCTGCCTGAGATCTGACAGTGACATGCACAAAGTGCCTGAGCAAAATGCCTCTTCTGAGCAAGACCCAGTTCCACATTGTTAACCTCTTGCTATTGTTGAACAGTTGGAAGCTGAATGTTGCAAATTAAAATTACTTCCTTGACTAGCCAGAACAATCCTTCCTCTCTTCAAGGCTCTGATCCTTTCCACTGGAGAGGCAGTGAGCACTTTTTAATAAGGCTGGGAATGTGACACAGTATGGTCCCATAGCTAAGCAAATTGCTGTGGATACTCTGAAGACCCTGTTTCCCACACACATGCTCTTGCAATGCTGCCATCTTTATGCAAGGTTCAGTTTTGCAACCACTCACCCCATGCATTTATTTTGCTCAGCTGAATGAATGGAAACACTCAACAGTTACAAGAAGCTCTGATATATTGCTTTGTGCTGGTTCTATAGAGGGGTGAGTATATCCCAGGGAAAGCATCCATTTTTCTGCTCATTGCTGGGCTTTCTCTACCTTAAAAGGCCATCATGGCATTTGTGTCTCCCTTACTCATAAGTGCAGCTTGCAAGCTGGAAGGCTTCTGTTCAGTTTGGACCTCATCTAGAGCTGGACCGCATCCATTACAGACCTGCAGCGAGGCAGTGGTACAGATTGTTCTCACTGCAAATGGAAATGGCTGTGAAGATGGCTGCCAAGCCTGGTACTGAAATTAAAAGACTGTTGAAAACAAAACAGCAGTCTTACACCAAAAGGGGTGTTGTATGCATAGGAGATGAGTCTGAGCCCAGCCCCATCAGCAAGGAACAGCTGGAATATGAGATAGGAGCAGGATACCATACCTTGCTTTGGCTTTGCCAGGACTAGACATCATCAATGCACCAGTAAGCCACAAACCTTTCAGGGTCAGAGGGATCTTCCCAATAGCAGGAATCAGAACAAAGTTATGCAAAAGGAATAGGGAGTCTAGGAGAATGAACAGAGAGGAAATGTGGACTGATCTGCATTTCTCCATGGTTCCCTTCGTGCTGGCTGACCTGCACAGTTTCTTCCCATTGCACCTCAGAAATACCTTGCACACACCAGGTCTATGGAAGAACCTGTGACGGCCTGATCTTGCTCCACTGATGGAGCACAGCTAGAGTTTCCAAGGAACTGGAGTCCTGCTGGAAGGATCTGGAAATGGGAGGCTTGGGGTCTATCATCAGTTTATAGCCTTTTCTGTGTTCTTAGCCAAAACTCATCTCTGTGCTGCCCTTTTTCTTTCTACCTTTCATCTATCCTGTCTTGTTTCCTTATCAGTTCCCAACTGTCCCTTGCCTTTCATTTCTTTGGCTGGATGTCAGCCATGGCTGAGGCCTGGACAACCTTGGGTATTTGACCTTGAGGGCTGCTCTCTACTAAGAGGGTTTCCCTTATTACACTGCTTCTGTGTGCAATATATGACCCACGTTATAAAGTTGTAGGCTTCTCTCCAAACAAGTGGCTATGTGAAGACAGCAAGGCTGATGTTACCATTTGGTTTAGGGTCAGCACATCACTCCCAGGTTGCTGTACCTCTTGAAGATAAAAGATTACTTCTGAAAGATCATAAAGTCCCCCTTTCAGCTCAAGTCTTGGCCATGCCTGCAAACCAATGGTCATGCCACAGAGAGCCTCATGTGGCAAAAACTACAGACTGCTGTTCCCTTCCAAGTCATCTTCATTCTCCATTCCTTTTGCTGTAGCAAAGAAGTCAGGATCTGACCACATGAGCAAACATTCTCTTAATGATGCTGAGCGCTGATACCATGGTATGCAGGAACTGTACTGCACAGCTACACAAGCAACGGATAAATAAATAAATAAGTGTATACTGATGCCTGTGCAAGGAAAATTCCGCATATTCATCCCCCTGTTTCCTTTATCACTTATTCTGTAACAGCTGTTTAATTAATTGCTTGAGTGATTTCCTAATACATCTTATTTACATACAAAATTACAGAATAATGGTTTGCCTTTGAGTCGAGTGAGAATTTAATGTCTGCTTGCCATGCCTCATGGAATATGGTTACTCAACAAGAAATAAAAGTTCTGGTTGGTTTTGGCTTTTTCTTCTTTTATTTTTATTTTTATTTTGTTTTCAAATAATATTATTCTTTTCCTTCATGTATTTTGTTGTTGTTTTTACAGGCATTACCAGATGATGCTAGGATGATAACAGCAAAGAGGGGGAGGATTGCTTTTGAAGGTGACTCAAATCCTTGAGGAAAAAAAATAATAAAAAAGAATGTAACTGAATAGGATCACTTCTACTGAAAAAGTCATCTAGCATCAGTGGAAACAATACAACTTTATCTCTGCTGTTCAGGTTTATTCCCTGGCTGGTGGAGCTTGTCCTGGAAGAACAAGGCTGTGCAACCAGTAGTGTCCCGCTTTGGTGGTCTTTTCACTAAAGGACGCCCCTTTTACCTTCTGACACAGAAACCTTTTCATTGGATCACATGAGCATCAGGCAACCGTGTCACTGCTGCTGATAAGCTTGTGTCAACTGATGTTTTTCTTTCACTAACCCGATTGCATTCAGCCTGCAGCCGTACCCATGGACACGGACCTGTGAGCTGAAAATTCCCTCCTAGAGAAACACTGGACAAGCACATCCTTCCTAGTTAACATAAAATAACTTAGTTTTGGATTTTGTTTATTGCCCAAAGCTTAGCGTTCACCTAAATTAACTTGGGGCACCTTTATGATGTCTCTAGGTTAAGGGACTGATTCACTGTGACCTCTTGTTCAGTCAACAAAAAGAGCCAGGCACCCCAGGGAGTCAGCTCACCTACATCTCTGTTGCCCTCTGGATGTGCGTCCTTCTCTTTGTTGACTACAGTGAAAATCTTGAGCCCTGAGGTTACCAATTTAGATGCCTAAATTGGAGTAATTTCAAGATCCATTTAGGCCCTCTTGTTAATGAGCAGCACAGGCTCCACAGCATGTTTAACACATCTGGCCTTGGCTCTAGCTGAACGTTTGGGACCATGTCTCAGTATGGTGCCATCATGGGCCAAGGTATGGGCTGGCTGCACAGGAAGGTGTGAGAATCTAAACAAAGTAAGAAACCAGTGGGCATGGTGGAAAACCATCCGAGATAGAGTATTTCACCTAACATGCCTAACATAGGGCTGTTGCTGAAACACAGCTCGTGGTCCTGAAGCAATTGTTGGTCTTTGGGTTCAGGTTTCTCTTGAATGACCTCCAGCACTGCAAGCAACAGCAGCAGGAAGGATGTATGGGCCTGGGGTGGGGGGGATGGCGTGGCCACGGGGAGTCAGCCATGGGCTTGGCAGTCAGTCCTGTTACTGCGATGCAAGTACATATCTAAGCACCTTCATGTCCTTAAATATTTGAATCAATAGCTCTGACATAGATACTGCCATTAAGTGTGGCCTAACATATTTTCCTGGAGACCTGCATTTTTGGACTGTAGAAGAAGAAATGCCTTCTGTTCACTACCAGATCTCACAGGAGAAATCTTATTACTGTTCTCTCAAAAAGTGTTACACCATATTTTTGGTTGCTAATGATTCATCACTAGTATTTAAAAAGTTCTTATTTCACCATGCCTGTGAGGTTTCTTTCCTCACCACTCTTAGGGCAGCTGCTATTAAAACCGTATCAAGAACTATTTCACTTTTCACTAACTGTAAAAGGTGAAAAATATTACTGTTCATTTTTGTTACTATTTCTTTCTAACTATATTCACTTAATAAGGTATTTGCTTGCAACACAGTCTGTTATATATTCTGTGTTTTATAAAGTATCTCCTGGGAAAAATAACCAGGGAAACACAATTTTTCGGCACCATCTCCTTTTATTAAGAATAATGAAAAGGAAACAAGAGTCATTCCAGCAGTCAAACATCCTTCTACTCTTTCTTATTGGTCTTTTTACGATAACTGGGTCTCTCAGCACATAATCTGAGCTGCCTGAATTTGTTTGTGTGTTTACATTTGTCCTTTTAGTTGCAGTGCATGTATCATTGTAGATCCGATACATAAAGGACATATAGTGCATCCAACATCTATATCCACAGGCACGGAGAATAGAGATCTAACCAAAATACTGGACAGAATAATCTCAGCAGTGAGGTCTAAATTCATCCCCAAATTTCACAGCTCGAAAGGAGAGTTTGACTATTTTACTTTCTCTGTATATCAGTTGCCCCCAGATTCAAAGTATAGCAAGAACTACTGCAGGCAGCTCTCTCTGTGGGCTGCAGCATTCACCGCTTGGACTACTGGCATTAATCACTCACGAGTAGGAATAAATGCCAAAGGCCCACTCGTGCACTCTCTTTCGATGGATTTGGTATCCTCAGGAAGGACAGGAGAAAGCAAGACAACCTGTCCCTGAATTGTGCAAGATACCTTCCCAAGCTGGAATAATACTCATCATTCTGTGTCTGTCTCAACATGATGATAGAATGTATTAGTGCTCGTGAAACAGGCCAAATGGCCGGCATCTGCCACTAACAGGTCCTGTTTCAGGCCATTGGGTAGCTCACTTATATTAAAGCTGTAATTTATACATTTGGCTGGTATTCAGGCTTGTTTTAAAGCATCGATCATTCCTGAGTAGTCATAGATGATTCAGACTTACTCTACAGGTTCTTCTGCCAGTTATTGATCCTGAAGACATTAATTATCAATTACAAAAGGTTTATTTCTCGCAACATTCACCACTAAAAGATCTGCATATTTATTTTGCCTAGTGATTTATTGACACATCATTATACATTTCATGGAAAACTGCATTATATAGATGGGAGTGGGGAGAAAAGCCTCCAAAAACTCCACTCCAATTAGAAGAAATCGCTCAAAGAGCTGTAATGTGATGTTTCTTTGGTTTTCATTAAACATGAAGACTGGAAATTATCTTCCAGTTCACCCATGCCCACTAGGGAGTTGCCTTGCAGGTGGAGCATAAATTAGCATACTGTTTATCAAACCTCCAGTGTTTCATGTGCTCCCTAACACAATGGCATTAACGAAAGGACTAGAGGTGATATCTGCCATACCCTGGGGCAACCATATGCTAAGGAATAGCTTGGAAGTTGCAGTGTCTTCTACAACGAGACAGCTGGTACCATCAAACAGAACATGCTATTATCTGACTTCCACTTTTCCCTAAACGATTCATTCCTAGTACTCCAATACTTTCTAGAAAATATCACACTAATGATGCATAGAATTGAAAAGTAATATCAGATTTAAGATGCTTTCTTATTCCTTTTTTTTTTTTTTTTTTTTTTTTTTTTTTTTCAGTATGTTTACCAAAGGCTGTATATTTTTTTGAATAAAAGGTTTTTGCAATGGGTCTTGGTAGGTTGAAGACTTCTTGTAGCCAAAGGCCTAAGCCTTGTGTTCTTTATTATTATAATACAATGACAGGGTAAAGGTTAATATTTTCCATTGCCCATAAACACCTCTTGCATAAAAAGCTAATGTATCATGACGTCTAGCACAAAGCTCTCTCCACTGGACCGTACCATATCTACTGACTGTGCTCTTCTACAATGACTATTAAACATGTTGCTAAACATTTGTGGTAATGGGCCTCCAAATGAAATAAGAAAAAAAAGAGGAAAGAAATATCCAAAATAATTGCAGAAATCCAAATAACTGTAATACAGTAGATGTAACAATTCCTTAGTGTCCATTCTTCTTATTTGCATCGTTAATTGTTGTCTGATTAAAAATCATTATGAAGCTGGAAACAAGTTAAAACAGAGAAACAAAACCTGGCATGGTAGGAGGGATAGGACTTTATAAATCACTGTGAAAGCTAAAGCAGATTCCAATTTGCAAAGCAGCAATCATTGCTTTTAATAAATAGAGAGAAATGAGGATGCCTAAGCACAGACCTTGCACAGTACAAAAGGTTAAAACAAAGAGATCGATAGAGTCCTGTAAGCTGAATAAGGCAAAGGACGGAAATTCACTGTATGCTAAACTAGCATGGAAATCTGATCCTTGAAGTTAGGATATATTTTACTGTGTCCCTGGAGAACCTACCAAAGCAATGAATTATCTGAAGAGCAGGGCATTGTTTAATGGAAATCTGGGCTCCTGCTCCTATTTCTCCTGCCGTAGTCCAGATGGTGGCTGTTTCCAGCACATAGGTTTGCTTCAAATGTGGACCTGAAGATGGAAATCCTCAATTGTCTTGCCACAGTCCATTAGCTGAGAGAGAGCACAGACCAGCTAATGGGAGAGTACTGATCTCAAGTTGTTATTTAGGCTTTTCTGCCACACCTCAGGAGCCTTTTTTTTTTTTTTTTTTTTTTTTCCCTCTCTCTCTCTGTTGCAACTCAGTGCCACTTCTTTACATCTTTTCCTGAAGGAATAGATACCCAGATCTTCCTCGTTCTGTTTTGGAAGGGCTGAGCCCACTGCTTCCAGGGGACTACCCAGCTCATGAGATCAAGACCTTCCTCCCATGGACATTAGAGCACAGGACTCTCCGCATTTGTGCAACATAATGCTTGATTTAGTCTTGTGCTGGACAATGCTGGCTTATAAAAGAACAATCACAACAAAAATGTTTTTCTAAACCTCTGGATGAATGTAAATATAATTTTAAAGGACAGTATAGAAGAGTAAATAGATGTGTGAAGCCAGCAAAAGGTTAATAATCCCAGTATAAAAATTCTTAGACAAACTCT